GCCTCCGCGACCCTCAGGGACAGTCCCCGCTGGGTTCACAGCCCGGAGTTGTGGGGGCGTCTCTTCCCGGCCTGAGCCCTGGGCTGGGGCCTGCTGTGGGGCTGGGACCCCTCACTCCTCCGGGAAACCCCCGCCGAGATTCCCTCCGGGTTTAACCCGAATTACCAGTTGTGGGCCCGCGGCCGTGTCTCTGGGATTCAACCTGATCCGCTGGCGTCTCTGCCCCTCCTCCCGGTCTCGATGCTTCTTCAGCTCCCTGGTTGTGGGGCTTCTGTTCAGTCAGGTTTCAGGGGGCTCTGAGTGACGGTGGTTCTGCATTTTGTTGTGTCTTGATGTGGTTGCGGGAGGCGGCGGGGGCAGCGGTTCCCCGCGCCGCCATCTTGTTTCTCTCAGTACGTTTTTTTGATGATGCAACACACGGTTCCCCGAATTTCTTTCTAAACCAGGACCAGCTAACATGCTTTACATCCAGGGCGCGTTAGAACGTTTTATCCCCAAGTGACAGAGTCTCAACTCAAATGTAAGGAAAAGTGACGCTTTGACTCATAACTAAAAAAGTCTAGGGGTGGATCTGGCATTAGATGCAAATAGATCCAGGGTCTTTGTGTGTCTGCCTGTGTCCCCTCCCTCCAAAGGGCTTTCCCATGTGGCCAGTGTCATGGCTGGCTGCCCGCCCGGACCTCGCATCCCACCCGCCCTGCAACCCGAGTAGGAAGAGAGCAGCTTCCTGGGAACTTGGTGAGAAAGGCTCTGGAGGGAACCCGAGAGGCCCGACCGGGTCCAGCATGGGACCTGGGTGCCCCGATGAGGATGCCGGGGTCACATCCTGAGCAATGACATTCGTGAGTCACAAGCTTAATATGCTCATTATATTTTTTAAAATAAAAATTTTAGTTTAGAGCAGTTTTAGGTTTGCAAAGATAGTGTGCAGAGTTCCCATACACCCCACGCTTGTTTCTCTGTTGTTCCCATCTGACCCCGTGTGACACACTTGTCACAAGGAATGAGCCCATGTCGATACATGGTTCTTAGCCAAAGTCCGTCATGTATTCAATGTTCTTGGGTTTCCCCTAATGTCCGTTTTCTGTCCCAGGGCCCCACCCAGAAAGCCAGATGGCATTTGGTCATCTGCCTCCTCAGGCTCCTCTGGGCTGTGGGAGTTCTCAGGCTTTCCTGGGTTTTGGTGACCTTGGTGACCCCGACAGGTCAGCTCTTTGGTAGGATGCCCCTCCTTGAGGATTTGTCTGATGTTTTGCCCATCATTGGATGGGTTGTGGGCTTGGGGAAGGAAGATGGCAGAAGCGAAGGGCCATTTTTATCACATCATATCCAGAGTGCTGCCGTCAACAGGACTTGTCGCTGTTGATGATGACCTTGACCACCTGGCAGAGGCCGTGTTTGTCAGGTTTTCCCACTGTCAAGTTACCCCCGCTGCCTTCCCGCACCGCCCTCTGCGGGGGCAGGTCTTCACTCAGGGCCCGCGCCTGAAGAGAGGGGAGGTACCTCCTGGGGGCAGAGCGTCCGCATACGTCCTGAGTTTTTCTGCCTGGGAAATTTGTTCTTCCTTATGGGTTTATTTATTCAACCATTTATTTATATCAGCACAGACTCATGGGTATTTATTTTATTCTTGGGCTGTAATCCAATATCTATTTGTTTTGTTGCTCAGATTGTTCCGGCTTTGGCCACTGGGAGCTTTCGGTTGGCTCCTGTGTCCCCTTGACAATCTGCCATGTGCTTTACTCTCCCCCCCCCGCCCCCCAGCACTTCCTTACCTTCTGGCACCACGAGATGTTCTAGGGTCATCTTGCATATGCCCTGCCCCAGTCCCAGAATCAGCCGTTTCCCCAGGAGCCCTGGGGCCTTTCACTGGACAATGAGATCTGGAGCCAATGTCTGGTGCCAGGTGTGCTCACTGACACTGGGCGTCGCTGCTTCTAGACCCTCTCAGCAGACAGCGCAAGGAAATATCTGTATGTATGCTGACCTGTGTATGTGCACGCACGTCTATAAATATTTCCACATGTGACCTCTGTACCCATGTTCCTTCAAAGGTGGGCACCTTCAGCTCTCATCCGTCACCACATGGGTCACCCCAGCCCTCCTGCTTACCTGTTGCCTTCCATGCCCCCAGCCACAGAGCTGGCTCCCACCACCCACCGTCCCTTACTTAATCGTCCAATTCCATTGTGTGTACTGACATTTGGAGAGTAGGTCAGGGGCAGGGGGGCCCTCAGGACCTGGCCAGCTGGACGCGGAGGTGAGGAAGGGCCCTGCGGTTTCCAGCTGGGGAGTGCGGCTGGGTAACCAGGACACTGTGTGAGCTGCCGGGCTCCCAGCTCCAGCACAGCCGCTGCAGAGCAGCCCGGGCTAGCGTTTGAGGAGTTAACCTTCTGCTGTGAAATTCACGGACAATTGAGCTTCTTCTCTGGACAATGTTCGATCAGGGGCCTGGATGGACGCTCGTTCCCTCCACCAGCGGGGGCGGACAGAGCGAGGGGACTGCAGACAGACCGGGAGGAAGGATGTTTCCATGAACCCTTCATGTGTGGGAGGCGAGGCGCATGCACAGCTGGCAAAGCATCAAAGGCTTCGAGAGAATAGACAAAGGCGCTGGGAGGGGACCCATCAGCCCAGCTGGAGGAGATCTGAAACCCAGGGGCCTACAGAGGGAGCAAAGACTCCACACGCGCACAGCAGGAGCTAATTTGAATTAAGCAGCGAGTCTGTTGATAGAGGCCCAGGGTTGAAATGGAGACTTCAAAGCAGAATGTCGAGAGGCAGCCCCTTTGAGTGACCTGCCCCTTTGAGAAGTCCCCCGGCCCGACCCAGGTGGCTTGGGCAGAAACCCGGATGAGAGGGATGGTTTTATGAAAGTGTTTGGCTCAGGATCTGCTCCTGGAACAGCTCCCCCACTCCTCCACCCCTGCCAGGGACAGCCCCGAGCCTTTCCTGACACTTGCCCTCCCAGGATGCCTGGTTGTGTGGGTTTGGGACTGGCTACCCTGCTGGCTGTGGTCGTCCCGCTTCGAGCTGCAGCTGTGGCCAGGAGTCCCTCTGTCTGTGGCTTGTGGCTCAGAGAGTTGGCTGAGTATTTTGTGCAGAAGTCGCCCAGCACTTACCATTGGGGAGTGTGGGAAGTCCCCTATAACCCGACCCTGACACGGGTTTTCTGTTGGCAGGCGAGCTATCACTTGTAGTGTCCCCTACATCTCTCGGTAGGTAGCTGTGTGTAGCCTCATGGTCACAGGTTCCTTTCGCTATTATGAGCTGTTGCTTCTTATCAGAATTTGCAAGTGAGGTTGCAGCCCTCAGCGGGTGATAGTTCTGGGAAGGAGGTGTGGGCCTCAGAGGCTGCCCTCCTCAGGAGTGCATCTGCGTATGCCTGTGTGTGCGTGTGCATGTGTGCATGTATGTGTGCATGTGTGCACACCATCAAATCCTACTCACGAGCCCATTCAGCACCAATGGGGACTCAACAGGAGTCCGTCTGTGGTGCACACTGATTAATCTCATCCCACCTACAGAACACACGGAACCTCGGAGGCCTCCTTCGTGGAAACCTCGTTAAGAAAATACACGGCCCTTCAATATGTGAGAAATGTTCCTCCTTATCATTTGCAACCAGATGAATTCTCTACAGAGATGCTGTTACCAGGCACAAGGTTTGATGTAATTATGTGTATGGCAAAAAAACCTCACCTCCCAGCTAATGCCATCCCAGGCCCCGTGTGACAGGTTGGCTCCACGCACTGGCCTCCCGCTTGCTCTCCAGCTTTGAGAAAGGGAAGAAATTGGTGCACAAACAGCATAAACTGGAAAAGGCGAACCTGTTTGGAAAATTATGCGAGGCTTGGAATGCTCCTTAGCTGAGCGTGGTGTCTGCAGAGTGCTATTAATATTTACACAACAGCACGTTATTATGGTATTAGTGTCACAGAACAGAAAACAAACATTCGCTTCAGTGAGAGAGTAGTCAGGTTGGGGATCCATTGCTCTGGAATAAATATCCAGTTATCGGACTCAGCGTAAACCCACCCAGTGACTGATTTGATGCTCTGTAGATGGAGCTTTAATGAGTCATTGTTAAATCTATTTGCTGCCTCTCAGAGGAAGGGAAACGCTGCCTCCGAGCAAACAAAATGAAAACCAGAGGCTGTGCTCCAGACTTTTCTGCGTTCTGGTCTCTGCTTTAACTGAGGGGCAAATAAGCAAAACTGCTACAATGGGTAGGGGCTTCCCTGCTCACCTGCCCGTGGCGGACATGGAGATGTGGACCTTGGGCCTGGGTCAGTGAGAGGGCTACTTTGCATTGGTGAGGAGATGGCCCATGGTGACCCCGTAAGAGGCAAAGCTTTCTCGGTCCCTGGCATTTGCACCTCAGTGTCCCTGTGTGTGTGTCTATACGCAACCTCCAAAAAAGGAGCCAGAGGAATAGCTAAAGGGGAGGCTGATGTCATAAGCCACAGGCACCTGGTGGAGAGATGCTGGTGTTGAAAGGGTTAGGAGAATACGTCTCGAATGAATGATGGATGGATGGACAGATGAATGGATCATGAATGCTTGGAGGGATGCATGGGTGATGGATGAGTGGATGCTTGGAGATGCGTATGGCATTTTGCATGGATGATGGATGCTTGGATGTATGGATATGCATGGGTGATGGATAGATGCTTAGATGTGTGGATGAGCTAATAAGGATGTTTGGTTTGGGTTAGGCAAATGTCAGCACATTCAATCACAGAAGTCCAGTAGGCGGGTGGACACACATTCATTGAGGCACCATATGACTTGGTTAATTTCATGACTAGCACGGGTGTCTGTTTTATACCAATTTACCTCATAAATTGGTAAATATGAAAAACAGCCATTTTACTATATTATTTTGGAAAAGAAATAGTAGCTGCTTATGTGAAATGAGCTAAGTTATTTCAAGAGTTTCAGAGGAGGTCAGTATTTTAATTCAAACAAAGATGTCCGGAGGAATTGCCTCCGACCTGGCTGTAAGCTGAGTCCAGGAGAAGACAAAGTTCTGCCCAAGCCCTCAGGGAGGAGATTTGTCCCAACAGCAGGGCTCCCTGGGTGCCCACGGGGAGTATTTAAGAATGTTGATGCCTGGGCCCTGCCCTAGACCAAAGGAAGCAGGACTTCTGAGGGCGGGCCTGGGAACCCATGTTGTTAACAGAGCCCCCTCCCCCAAGTGGGTGCTGAGACCGTCGCAGAGATTCCTGACTGTGGCAAAGGCAGAAGCCAATGGGTGCCCTGAGTTTGGTGGCTGAGGCTGGGCCAGGGCAAGGGACAGAGCGGGCATGGCTGGTGAGGAGTGGAGTCCAGCGTCCACAGCAGGGCTCAGTGGGAAACCCCTGTCTCTCTGCCCCTCGACCAGGATTACGTGGCTGCTGACGCCCACACGGAAGGAGGGTGCCTGCTGCGCTGGGAGGTTGAAAGTTGACGAGCGCTAACTGGGCGACGCCGTCCCCGTAGCAGCCCAAGGTCACATTGGCTTCCTTTCTACATGAGTCATTACCCAGCTGCCCCCAAATCAGTCTGCGCCGATCCACACGAGTTTCAGCGAGGCAGTGACTGACAGCCTGTCCCCAAATGGAAATGCGGATGACTGCAGCTCCACCAGAACAGAAGAGGCTGTGGCTTTAAGGTCCCACACTGTGAGGCACAGCTGGCCCTGGAGATGAAGTCAACTCGGCCTCGAACCAGAGGAGCTGAGCTGTAAACACGTGCCCCCCC